ATAAATCTGATTTTTGTTGATTTGAAAAATAATTCATAGTCTAAGATCTACTGTAATTTTTTTTATATAGAAATTGAGATACCTATTGTTTAGACAAAATAGAGCTCTCCAATTCCCCATTCCATTCTGTCTCTAACATATGGCATATTGAATTACAGGTTGTCCTCAATTTAGGACCCCAATTGAGCCCAAAATTTTTGTTACTAAGTGAGATAGTTGTTAAATTAGTTTTGCCCCATTTTATGGCCTTCCTTGCTGCAGTTGTTATGTTAGTAACACGGTTGTTAAATGAAACTGGTTTCCCCAGAGATTTTGCTTGTCAGAAGGTCACAAAAGGGGATCACATGACCGAGGGATGCGGCAAGGGCCATAAGTATGAACCAGTTGCCAAGTGTCTGAATTTTAATCAGGTGACCACGGGGATGCTGCAACGGTGTGAAAAACAGTCATAAGTCACATTTTTCAGTGCTGTTGTAACTGGATAGTCACTAAGCAAATGGGTTGTAAATCAAGGACTACCTGTAAGTTATCAAAAAGTATTTATTAAAAATAATTGTGGGATTTTTTTAGTCTCAGGATTTGGTAATTCTAGTAATTTAGATGTCTCTGAAATTGAAAATAGTACTGGTGTAAGGATAAAGTTTAGCAAAATATTAATTTAGCAACTAGGCAAGCTAAGTCTTGGAGACTTTGTTTTACCACCAATCTGTTGCGTAGTGGGTTTTCGGTTTAATACAACGTGATTTATTTCAACAGGAACAGAACTGGCTTAATTGGCAGAATGACAGCTATTCATACTTGCCGCCTCTAGGTGGTGACCAATCAAATCAAATGGTGTTTTCCCGCTCAAACGTAAACTTAACTTTCCCTCCATAATGGTTGGAGACACGTTTAAACCAAAACACATCAACTCTTAATATCAATACATAACACAATCCACCAGATTATTGCCAATCCTTAATAAACCAAAAACATCACAGAGCATTTGCTCAGGCTAGAGATTCAGTAGACTCCCTCTAGCGGTCATAATTGGTAAATACCTAAAGATTCCCTCCTGTCAATGATTTTTCCCCATGACTCCCATGCCACTCCTATTGCATTGTAATTTCTATTTCAATTTGTGTGATGTATTAATTTGGCCTCTCGTGAATGATCTCCCAGGAAGATACAACCATTAGTACCTCTCCTACTTTTTAACTGATCACAAGATCACTATTACCCGTAATATAGTCAAATACTACCTCAATTCAATGGCAGCAAGGCAGCAGATATTATCTGTTAACATTGCATTTTCCACTCTCATTTTCTTTTTAACCCTTTTAACCTCTTTTAATTGAGATGGGCAGCACAGAAATATAATAAATAAATACATAACAAACAAACAAATAAATGATATTTTTATCATCTTTGGAGAACTTTATGTACAAATGCATACTTGTCTAGTCTTAGATTGTAATTAAGTTTACCTATCTGCCTACTAGTATAAATATGTTTAAAAGTGCTATGGAAAATTTATTTTGAGTGAAGCCATTCAAAATTTGGTATAGGCAGAAGATGTGTCTTCATTGCCAGACATTCAGTCATGTCGGACTCTCAGCCACTCTGTGGATCAGCTCTCTCCATGCCCCTCTGTCTCGCCCTGCCTCCTTCAGATCTGCCATAGTCATCCCGGTGTCATCCTTTACACTTGCGGTTACTAGAGCGGCCCCTTCTCCTTTTTCCATTGATCATCCCCAGCATGACTGATTTTTTGAGTGAGTCAGCTCTCATGACATGATTGAAGTACGACAGCCTCAATTTGGCGACCTTGGCTTCAAATGATATTTTGGGTGAAGTTCAGACTAGGACTTCTTTGTTTGTTATTTTTGCAGTCCATGGGATGCGTAATAGTCGCCTCCAGCACCACTGTTCAAAGGCGTCCACCTTTCTCCTATCCGCCTTTTTCAAGATAAGTAGCAATTAGAAAAATTATTGCGTTAATTAACTTGCATTTGGTTCTGAGGCTGATGTCTTTACTCTTCCAGATGTTATTCATGCCATTCATGTGTATAGAAGTATAATTCAGAATTTGGAACCCAGGCTTCAGGGCAGGTTAGATAGCCTGTAAGCAACTCCAGGAGGAGAGACAGCACTGTCCTGAAATTGCTATCCAGGAGCCAGGTTCTAGGTGACAAAAATCTCTTCGGAGAAAGGATAGATTGTTAGGAATTACCCATTTGCACCCTGGAATTGTTTCTGCTCCTCCCGAGGAAACCACAGGAATTGAGTTTCTTGTGGTCAGTGGAAAGTTGAAGATTTACAGTTGACCCTTAACTGCTGCACAGTCTTAATGGACATTTGACCAGCAAAAGCCTTACTTTCTTAATCACCTTTCGATTTAATTACTTTATGACCTAAGACAGATATTCTATACGGCAATGAAGATCAAAGTTTCTTGGTGTCGTCTTTTTGAAATTAAGAAAGGGAAGAAAAAAATGACTATTTTAAAGGATTTTAATTTAAAAGCAAAATGCTTAATGAGAAAGATCCATGAAATTTTTTTTAAAAGAACAGAAGACATTTTTTTTTTCTGATGAAAATCCCTTTGAAAATAGCAATGATAATTAGACTAACAGATTGGACCTTCATGGGAATGTTGATTGCTTATTATTAAGGACAGGAGATAATTGGTGGATTTTACAAAACAAGAAGATAGTATGAACTAAACTGTGAGAATTGTAACTACAGAGAGCTAATTGGGACTAAAGTTCTAAAAATAGAGATAGGAAAACAGAAAAAAAGGAGTACCTTGTCTTTTACTTTCACCAAAGTAATCCACATACTTTCAGTTTAACAATGGCAATCACAAGAAAAACTGTTAAATTAGGAGAAAGACTGGGAGGGGGCTCATTAGAACTCATTAGAACAAACTAAGGATATGGTTTGAGGATTTCACCAGATTTATTCCAGAAAATGTTTGAAGAATTTGGCAAAAAGATGACTGCAGTGGTTAAAAGGAAGTGGAAAAGGATTTGCTGAAATTTAAAAAAAGAGTGAAAGAAGTATTTAAGAAGATTGAAGAATCTGTAGGTCAGTTGGCTATAGGCTTAAAATAAATTACTATATTAAGAAAATAATCACATATTTTGAGGAGTGCCTTACTTCGAGATTGGAAAAAGTATTATTATAGGTTAAACTATAAAATCCCTATCTGGGGGATTCCTAGACATGCAATTGAGGGGATTTCTAAGGGGATGAACTTTGATAAAATTTCGTATAAAGAATTATTAACTTCGGATTGGCATTTAAAATCTCTAAATGTATTAAGGCAAGAAAATATTCTACAGTCATGGTTTCAATATTTACAAATAGTGGACAGGTGGACTGTAGGTAAGAAAGAAGGAATAACACTAGAAGATGGAAATCTGGTTATTCAGATTAAAGATCAGAGTCAGGCCCATATAAAAAGAATTTACAATGCTTTAATAGAATTAGACTCTGAAACAGAATTGGTTAAAGACTGTATGATTAAATGGGCTCAGAATATCCAGGATCCGATCCCATTGGACTTATGGGAGACAATTTGGATTAGAAATGTTAAATTTACACAAGCTCAAAATTCGAGGGAAAATTTTTATAAAATGTTTTACAGATGGCATTTAGATCCTAAAAAATTATCTTGTATGTATCCAAATTTACAACCCAAATGTTGGAGATGTGGTAATATGGATGCGACATATTTTCATGTTTGGTGGAATTGTAAAAAGGTAAAGGCTTTTTGGATTATGATTTGGTGGAACATTCAAAAGATTTTTAAAAGGAAGATAAAGTTCACCCCTCAATTATTCCTATTGGGTATCTTTGTGGATTTAAATGACAAAGAAACTACTTTAATGTTGAATTTATTAACTGCAGCAAGGTTATTAGTAGGCTCGTATTGGAAGAAGGACTCGTTGCCTACTTTAGAAGAATGGATATTTAAAGTTTCTAACGTTGCAGAAATGGCAAACATTTCTGCTTATTTGAAGGATCATACACAAGAAAGATATATTATTGTATGGAGAAGATGGATAGATTATAGTCAGAAAAAATATGGGACTATAAAGTTTCATTTATTTTATGAGTAAATTTTATAGTAACTGTTGTAGAGATTTGTTTATATGACTTAATTTAAGGGGAGTTAAAGGTTAAGTATGATGTTAGCAACTCCTAGAAGCACAAAGCCGAAGACACCAGCCTGAAGATGACGAATGAGAAACGTCGCCAAGACACTTCCAATTTGACGTGGGAGAAAACCCGAATAACCAAAGACATATATATATATATATATATATATATATATATATATATATATATATATATATATATTGTATACACACACACACACACAGAGAGAGAGAGAGAGAGAGAGAGAAAGAAAGAGAGACAATGCATATATAAAAATATAATGTATTGATAAATAAATCTTTGCTCTTTGGTATAAATTTTAATTTAGACCAATTACTAACTCACCCCTATGTACTAATCTAATGCATCAAGGCTGGAATCAAAGTATGAAATTCAGGAATAGATAAGAAAATATTTATTTTATTATATTTGCTATCTGATTTATGTTTGAATATATTGTAAGAACTATGGATATTATTATACTGTCTAAAACACATTTTGAGAGTTTTAAACATATGTTAAGTATCAAAGGGGAAACTCGACATTCTTTATCAAGTGAAAAAGTGGATGAAAAGCACATACAAATTCTTGCCCTATTTATTAAATCCTCTGAGAAATCAAATGTAGCTATGTGTGTATGTGTATGCATGTATGTATGGTTCTATATAGCAGGGGTCCTCAACCTTGGCAACTAAGACTTGTGGACTTCAACTCCCAGAATTCCTCAGCCAGCAGAATTCTGGGAGTTAAAGTCCACAAGTCTTAAAGTTTCCTAGGTTGAGGACTGCTGCTATATACTGTTCACAGTTTTTAATCAAAAGGGACCTCAACTTTTGTCTATTTCTTTTCCCCAGCCAGCCCTGAGAGAGTTTTAGGCTGCGTGCATCCTGGAATCACTCCCGTTTCAGATAACAACTTATTGAAAGGGTAAGCAATTCTCTTGGGGCCTGATTTGCACTACACAGTCTCAATATGGGTAGCATGGCATGAGCATATTAATATTTATTAGTCATTTCATGTTTCAGTTATACCTAGAATTCTGGAGCAAGATGCAGTGGCAGATCATTACTGTAGCCCTGAAGTTATGAAAATGATGATTGGAGAAAATGTACCATAGTTATTTCTCCGGTCAAGACTGTAAGACATTCTCACTAGAATTCAAATTTTGTTTTTTGCAGCTCTGTAATAAAGAGTTATAGATTTGAATATTCACCCATTAAACTCCCACAGTACGTTCTAGATATTTTAGAGCAAGTGGCTGAAAAGTACTATATTGTAAGGTGTGAAAATTGTGCACATATCCTTTGCCCAAGGTAACATCTGTTAACTGAGGCTTATCAAATTAGAATTTCTGTTACATGCATAGATATGTGCATGGATATTTAGACACATTATGCAAGTGTAACTCTCTTTTTCCACAACACTCTTAAACGCATAAATAATTGCTTAGCATACCACACGCTGCAGCTAAGAAAGTCAAGCAAATGCAGGGAGGGAGAAATAATAGCATTTACTGTAACAAATACATAAAGGCAAATTCCTGCATTTGGAATTTTATAATACTAATTGTTTATGCTTAAAATATTGTAATAAAACTAGTTGTTCATTTCATACTGAAGTCCACAGGGGAATTAGGAGATCAACTATATGTACTGCTATACTAATTTCTCAAGACTTGTATTCACCAGAGTTGCCAAACCTCAGGCTCATCTTTCTGCATAACTTTGACATGAAATCATATAAAGTATTTCTCATCACTGAATGTAATAATAATAAACCAAACAGTTATAATTAGCATATCTGTTCATACAGACACAATTGTATGAAGTAGTAGACCTGAACAAAAAAAATCACAGCTCTTTTCTACTCTTCATATTATCATTTTCAGCACATTCTATCTAAAGTTACACAGTTTAAAAATAATAGATTATTTGAGACCAGTTCAGACTAACAGTTTTTACATCCAGTAATAATGCATTTCAGGGATTTATTCCACTATCTCTTTAAATTAACTTTATTCATGGTTTGATGATCTGTTTCTTAGCTGCAGAATAGAGACTATAGTACAGTTGTCAATTAATCAAGGCAACCCTATCTTTGTATGTGACAACCAAGCCATGTTTGAATGTGGATAACATGAAAAAGAAATGATTAACATCTGTAATACTCCCAAGTCTATGAGTACACAACAAGGGTATGTAGGTCCTGGCTATAAACAGATTTAAGGTGATACCTTTTGGCAACAATAGTGCAGCAGCAACAACAACAACAACAAAAATGATGCAAAAACAAGCAAAGAAGGTCAAGAACTGGAGGGCCCCTGGTTTAGATGAGCTGCATGGATTCTGGTTGAAATCACTAACAAGTTTGCTTGCAAGATTAACAAACCTGATGAATCAGGTTCTGAAAATACCAGAAAGTGAAAATGGCTAACAATTGGAAGAGATCTTTTGATTCAGAAGGATGCAGAAAAGGGAAACAAACCTAAAAATTACAGGCCAATCACTTGCCTGCCAACAACATATAAATTACACCTACAGGAAATTTTGCAAACCAGATTTATGAACATCTAGAAAACAAGGATTTGCTGCCTGTAGAACAGAAAGGATGCTGCAAAAATTCAAGAGGAACCAAAGACCAACTGATTGATAAACTGGTTTTGAAGTATTCAAAGAAAAGATGAACAAATTTGTTCATAGTCCCGATTGATTATAAGAAAGCACTTGATTCTGTTCCACACAGCTGGATTGAGAAATGCTTAGACATTTTTGGAATTAGCAGCAACATCCAAAAATTCCTGAAGACTTCCATGAAGCTATGGCAAATGTAAGTTGATGACCTATGGAGAAAAACTTGGTGAAGCTGAAATCAAAGGAGGAATCTACCAAGGCGACTCACTGTCACCTCTGTTATTTGTACTTTCAATGGCACTTCTAACAAGCATTTTGAACAAGACAAACTATGGTTATGAGTTGGCTATAAAAGGGTTGAAAATTTCCCATTTGCTCTACATGGACGATTTAAAACTGCTTGGAAAAACAAAAGCTGAATTGAGCTCCCTGATGAAAAGCACTGAGGAGTTTAGCAGAGACATTGAGATGCAATTTGACATTCATAAATGTGCAACAGTTGCTGTTAAGGCAGGAAAAATTGTCAAAGATGATTGATTTGAACTTCATAATGAAGATAAAAGCAGTAACACTACAAGAAGGGTACAAGTACGTAGGAGTTTTGGAAGCTTTTGACCTATTACACAACCAAGTCAAGGAAGCTACTTCAACAAAATACATAAAATGAATCCGGAAAATCTCGAGATCAAAGCTGAGTGGAATAAATATCATAAAGGCAATTAACACCTGGGCAGGGCCTGTAATAAGATACTCAGCTGGAATAATTGATTGGACTCATCTAGACCTAGATAACTTGGATCGAAAGACAAGAAAACTAATGACAATGCACCATGCTCTGCACCCAAAAAGTGAAATCAATCGATTGTACTTGCCTAGATCTTAGGATGGCAGAGAACTTTTATAGGTGAAACAAACTATGAAAGAAGAAAAACACGGCTTAAATGACTACATTAAAAAAAGGAAAAGAGCCACTGCTGAAGGAGGTGATCAGGGAAAACCTCTTGAAAACAATGAGATTGAAAGCAGAATATTGAAAGGAAACAATTGAGCATCAAGTTTCTAACTGGAAAAATAAGCCTATGCACAGTCAATACCTGAAGGACATTAAAAGAAAGGTAGATACAAAGCTAATATGGGGCTGGTTGAGATCAGGGATGCTGAAGAAAGAAATTGAAGGCTTCATTTTGGCTGCCTAAAAACAAGCCCTACAGACCAATTCCATGAAAGCAAAAATTCAACATGTCAATAACAACAGCAAATGTCGCTTGTGCAACAAGATGAGACAGTGGATCACCTTATCGGGGGCTGCAGCAAAATCTCACAGACTGGTGATCTACAATGTCATAATCAAGTTGCCAAAATCATACATTGGAAGCTTTGCCAGAAGTTTGGGTTCAAATGCAGCAAAAATTACTGGGAACACCAAATTGAAAAAGCTCTTGAAATGAGCATGTCAAGATCCTGTGGGACTTTCGGATCCAAACAGACAGACATCTGGGCCACAACACGCCTGACATCACTATTGTGGAAAAGAAAAAAGTCCCGTTCATTGATATTGCAATACCAGGTGATGCAAAAATTGAAGAGAAACAGCTAGAAAAAATAACGATATATCATGATTTGCAAATTAAAATTGAGCGATTGTGGAGGAAGAAATCAACGGTTGTACCAATAATAATAGGAGCCCTTGGAGCAATACCCAAAGGGTTCCCTAGATATATGGAAATTTTGAACTTATCAAACCTGAATATGATGACTTTGCAAAAAATCACTTTACTTGGAAATGCCTATATATTCAGATGCTACCTTAGCAGCTCTTAGGTCCTTGGTTACGACATGAACTGTTAAATTTTTACCAGTCCCAGACTGTGAATCAAATTGAAGATTAACCATAATAATAATAATAATAGAAAAATAGTTTTTCTTGGAAATATGTGTACATTAATGTTTGAAAAGTGGCAGCTGACATTAGAAGACCCAGTGTATGATGACCTCTGATTCAGATGAACATTTGTGAGTGAGATGGGTAGTATATAAATTAAAAAAAAAAAAAGCACTTATCCTGTAGTCAGCTGGATTTTGGGAGAATGATTCAGGGGTTGGTTTTAAAATACCTTTATATTTGTATAATGTGCCATAACAAGAGCCACTTTACAAATTACTGAATGTTTTTTCTGTCTTGTGCTACTTCAGTGACACACTGAAGGCCAGCATATCTACTGTCAAGGTTTTTCTGCCTTCTCTTTTCCCAGAGGGCTAGCTATGCTGATCTGTCACAATAAAGCAAATACTACTACTAGCACAAATAACACAGCTTGGCTGGTGTTGTTTTTTAAAAAATAATCTTCACATACGATGAACGTTTTTAAGAGAAGAGCCATGTAAAGTTCTCATCCCACTGGTGATTTGGAATGCCATTAAAACTGGTAATTCCACAGAGCTTTGAGAACAGATGTGAGTTCTGGGGGCATCTCTTGCTTTGGGTATGGAAACTGCAGCTGTTTTGTGAGGCCTTTGTCATGGTATTATTTTTTCTGCCTTTATATTTGAATGTTTGCATTTTGGAAACCTCACAGAGCCATGTTTGGATTAAAGAGACATATACTTGATGGCAATGTCCAGGTACATACAATGTGCAGGTACATATAAGCATTAGGGACAAACTTCACACTAAACATTTAAGAAATTATTATCTTAAACAGCCATCTTCATTCTCTCTTTTCTTTAAAAAAGGTATTTTATTTTAAAAACATCTAGATGTAGATTTACAGTTTATAAAAACAAAAGAGATCTTGCTATTCTGTTTAAAACCTGGTGTACTGCTTATTTCTCATATATGTGTATTGAAGACAGAGGTATATTTCTCTTAAGGCAGAAGAAATATGGGAAAAAGGAAGAATCATCTGTTTTAGAAAATGTGAACTGCCACTTCCAGAATTTCTCTTCCAGACTGGAAGAAAAATATTGTGCACACAAATTAGTCTCTGTTCTTCCAGTTTCATAAGTCGTGAATTTAAAAGAGGTAGCAAATCCCCAAGCTTTGCTTTAAAACCTACCAGAGATAAGTTGCAGAGAAAGGACTACTAGGTAAGATATCTGGGGTGATGGAGAGACCAAAAACAAGCCTACCTGTTATTAAAGTCATGGAATTAGAGGCCCTCAGCAAACTTGAGATTCCCTTCTTGGCTATTGCATTCTTTTACTTCTGATCTCACATAATGGTGGCTTCCACTAGGTACCAAAAAGACTTTGCTCAAATCTCATTATACCATGGTCAGAACCAGGCTTTGGAATCCG